ACACAACTGAACAACAAAAGAACAAACAACCTGATCAAAAAATTGGCAGAGGAAATGAACAGACACTTCTCCAAAGATATACAGATGGCCAATAGGCACATGAAAAGATGTTCAACATCATTAATCATCAGGGCAATGCAAATCAAAACAACACTAAGATATCACCTCACGCCCGTTAGAATGGCTATTATCATCAAAACCAAAAACAACAAATGTTGGAGAGGATGTGGAGAAACAGGAACCCTCATACACAGCTGGTAGGAATGCAAACTGGTGCAGCCTCTATGGAAAACAGTATGGAGATTCCTCAAACAATTAAAAACACAGATGCCCTATGATCTAGCCATCCCACTACTGGGAATCTATCCAACGAACCTGAAATCAACAATCCAAAGAGGCTTATGCAACCCTATGTTCATTGCAGCACTATTCACCATAGCCAAGAAATGGAAGCAACCTAAGTGTCCCTCGACTGACGACTGGATCAAGAAAACGAGGTATGTAGATACAAATGGAATACTACTCAGCCATAAAAAAAAGACAAAATCGTCCCATTTGCAACAACATGGATGGGCCTGGAGAGTATTATGTTAAGTGAAGTAAGCCAGAAAGAGAAAGACAAACACTGTATGATCTCACTCATATGTGGAATATAAACCAACACATGGACAGAGAAAACTGTAATGTGGTTACCAGGGGCAATGAGGGTGGGGAGTGGGCACAAGGGGTGAAGGGAGACATATATATGGTGACAGACAAACAAAAATGTACAACCCAAAATTGCACAATGTTAAAAACTATTAAAACATCAATAAAAAAATAAATAATTCAAGAACATCTCTTAAGAACTAAAAGACAAATTTCCATATTAAAGAAGCCCATCAAATACCTGGCACACCGACAGAAAAGACCATAAAGGCACATTACCAGGACATCTGGAACACTAGAAACAAAGAGGCAGTTCGAAAACCTTCCAAAGAAGGAAAAAACACACAAAAGATCAGGAATTAGAATGCATGAGACTTAACATCAATAATGGAAACCAGACAAACCTGGGTTAATTTTTAAAAATACGTGGGAAAATTTATTTTCAAACTGTAATTCTATACCAGCCAAGCTATCAATTCAGAATAAGGATAGAAAGTCTAAAAAAAGAAATGTTTCTGCTCCCATATGTATCCTTTTTCTCAGGAGCCCTGGAGCTGTACCAAAACAAGGAACTAAACCAGAACAGAAGATAGCATGGGATACAGGAAACAGGGATTAAAATATGGGCAAGAGGCAAAAAGAATCCCCAGGATAACTGCTGCGCGGCAAACCAAAAGAGCAACCAGTTAAGAATGAGCTTGTAAGAAGGCTCTGGGAGACACGTCTCCACGAAGATGAAGTTAGAAGATCAGCTGGGTGCTTAAATACTTTGAGAAGAAATGTGGACAACTAAGCCAGTTTCAAGGTGAATCAGAGGTAAGATACAGCAAAATCTCTACCTTCCATAGAGAGAAGACAACACGATACAAATGTTAAACACAGTTATCATATAATCCAGGGTTTTCAAGAGAAACATATATGTCCACACAGAAATGTGTATATGAATGTTCATAGCAGCATTATTTATATCAACCTAAAAGTGAAAGCTATGCCAATATCCATCAACTGATTAATGAATAAACAAAAACGTGGTATAGCCATAAATGCAATATTATTCAGCAAAAAAAAAGAAAGTACCAATAGGTGCTATAACATGGATGAAACCTTGAAAGCATTAGGCTAAGTGAAAGCAGCCACTCATAAAAGACCACATATTGTATGATTCCGTTTAGATGCAACGTTCACAACAGGCAAATCCTCAGAGATAGAGAGTAGATTAGCAGTTGCAAGGGCTGGGGTTAAGTGGGAATGGGGGTGACTACTAAAAGGTATAGTTTCTTTTTTAGGAGTGATGAAGATGTTCTAAAATTAGATATTGGTGATGGTTGCACAACTCTGTAAACATACTAAAACCACTGAATCATACACTTTAAAAGAGTGAATTTTATGGTATATGAAATATATCTCAATAAAGCTGTTATTTTAAAAATGGCATTTCTTTAGTCGTACTTTTTTTCTTAAATACCTTTCCAGCATAAAGAATACTAGAAGAATCTAACGCATCATCCAACGGTCTCCAGTCCACTATTACTTCAGCATCCTAGAGAAAGAAATTATTAACCATATTTACTATTCAGCAGTATCTTACATTCTTAGTTACCTATTTTTAATACCCTGAACCCAAAAAGAAAATTTTAACTTCTTAAATATTAGCAGTTTACATACGCAATATCATATTTAACCACTACTCGACAACCAGTGTTATGTAGATTTTTCAAATTCTGCTTACTTTTCATTATAAAAAAGTTATATTACTGCAAATTTTACATAAATTTTAAAATATTCCATGCCATTTCACTGGCTTATCTCAAGTATTTTATTTCTAACATCATTTCCATGTTAAATTTACAACTATAGCTCAACTACATAATTTTATTTTACACACAAAATTCAAATTTGCTGTTAATGTCCCAAAGATGAACCACTACCATAAATAATTATTAAATAAAATCATTTACCAGAAACATACCTTTTCTAAAATACGCAATATTCCTGAAATCAAACTGTCTTGGTCATTGGTCTTTCCACAAGATGAGTGAATACAGACCCCTTCCTGTTCATATATAACCTGGAACAGCAAAAATAAGATTAATCACACCACTTTTATTCAGTACTACTTCAACATTTGTCAAAAAAAATTAAGAGATGTTTTCCTATAATGCCTGAACCAAGCTTCCAATTATTTCATATGTAAAGGTATTATATAAAAAACATCACTCAGACGTAAGAGCACTTCAAACAAAGATAAACTGGAAAGGAAGTTTACTTTGTCATGCATGCAAGTTCATCGGTTTAGGGATAACCACAATCTTGACCTTCTCCATAAACAAAGATATCAGGCTAAATGCTATGTGTCTCAATATGCAAATCTCACTTAAAATACATTTGTAATAAATGTTAAGCAAAATACTGGGTTCAAACTGAAAATATTCAAGAATAAGAACAGATGAAATACAATGAGGAATCAGTGCTTTCTAACTACTCTCATAATAGCACATTTTTTACTGTAAGATCATTTGGTTGTGTTTTTATAGAATGGTGGCATAGAAATTCAGGAAAAAATATGGGAATTTTAAAGAGTAATGATGAGGACTTTTAGAAATGACTTGTTTAAAATAGTTCAAGCACACAAATATTTATAAATATGAGTGCTTCTATAAGTAAAAGCATGTAAAAGGCTATAGATATATTAATATGATTAAGACATGACTAATGAACAATGTCCTATGGGAATATAGGGGAGACTTAAGTTAATTTCTAAGTAAACTGAAACATTTAAAGTTAAGCGTTATTTTCTATAAACATGTTATAAATTAAGAATCCATTCCTGGGAGCCATTTCAAACCATTCAAATATCTTTTCATTATGAAAATAAGTAAAAGAGAAATAAAAATAGTCATTTCTAGACCTACGTACTTTTGACATATGTAAGTTTGGAACAGAGTGTACTTTCTATTTATGTAGACCTTTTATTAATACAATCACATCACTATTCAGAAGAGCATGGGGACCAACAATACAGGACAAGCACCACCAGAGCCCATCATGATCACCCTCTAGTTGATGATTGCAAATGGGCATATATCGTCCTGTTTCTAGCTAACATTTATTGGAACACTTTTGCACCAGGAACTCCATGTTATAACCCTGGACCACAGGTTATATAACTATATCCTACTACATCATTAGGATGAGGAGCCTGCTTGTGTGAAGGAGGAAACTGAACGAGAGGTTAAATAACTCACCTAAGGTCGATGACACAAATAGTAAGGTGTGTTTAGGAGTGGCGTGGAGATTGAAACCCAGGCAGCGTGACATCATAAAACTGTGTTCTTAGCCACTACACTATAAAGCTCCCACATTACTTTTACTTCCTCTCCTGTGTTATGTTAATCACTTGTGATATGGACTTATACAATGTCTCATCTCTTACAGGAAAGAGTCTTTCCAGTAATCAAGATCACCAGAGAAGTTCTGATCTCAAAAACCCAAGATGGACTTCAACAAAATAGTTGTTAAGCAACAGACTAGCATGAAACAGAAGGCAAAGATGGTTGACAGTATGAGTTAGGGAGCAGTGGGAGACAATGCTATATTGTCTGTATAGAGATGAAAATTTTTCAAGCATGCAGATTTGTTGACACAGGAACACAAAGATATGCATACGAATACTCACAAGTATTATTTATAATATCAGAGGGGGTGAGGGAGGGAGGAAAGGAAAGGTATGAATCAAAATGTCGACAAAGAAAGAAATGATCAAATATATACTGGGATATTCATTCTACGGAGGATATTATTCAGGAGTTACGCAAGGATGAGGGAGATTAAACGGACAGAAAGACATGGAAAAAATTGCCAATTATATGCCGTATGATGACATACTTTTTAAAAGTTCTTCTTTATCTGTGTAAAATACACAGAACAAGTTCCGGAAGAACATACTTCAAGCTGTTAACAGAGGTTACTTTTAGATGAGAGAATGGGATGGGGAAAGGTTGAAAGAGGAATTGTTAACTTTTTATGTTAAAGCCTCTAACATTTCAATATTTCAAAGTTAAAATACAGTTACATATTGCTTCAGTAATAAAAAAATAATTTTAAGGAGTAAAGTGAAAAAAAAGAATTCCAGAAACATAAACTATAACCTTGCAGGACTTCAGTTTATCAATCTGTAAAACAGGAGGTTGAACTACATAATTATATCTGGGGCCATAAAATGGAAGTATGAAAAGGTTATAGAAAAGAAATCCCTTAAAATCTCAAGCTTTTGTGCAAATAGATCACAGACATATCCAGAAACTACACTTTAGCATATTTTCACCAAGACTCAGCTATTAGAAGAATCAAGAACTTCACAGTTCTCAGAGTAGAAAAAGGGACACTCACTTGCCAACAAAAGCTTGGTATCATTAACTATGCAATCTAAGATTCTGTGATACTATTAACACTAAAGAGATTCTGGAACTTTAATGAAGTTAAGTGAACCCCAAAGAATCAAATCAAACACTTTACCTACTGAAGCACTTTAGGCAACTCTTTCTTTCCCATACATATGTTGGTCAAGTGTTGCCTATTCTCTCTCTCATTTAAGAAAAGGTTGAGTTTCCTAAGTAATTTATTAGCTAAGTAATTTCCTAAGTAATTTAGTAATTTACTAAAAAGTATTAAAGTACCAGGCACCTTACAAAAAAGTCAAAGCTGCACTCACTCTGTGTTCCTTAACTCTGGAACTTTTTGAGTGAAAAATTACCTGTCCAAAAATTCATAATTCCAAACCCAGACTCCTACTGTCTTTAGAAAGCAGTCATGGTCAGCTTTCTAACTTGAAAAGTGTGATGTTAAGCAATACAAATTAATAATTCTGCCAGAAATGGTACACAGGATAAAACTAATAAATTTACCTTTATGTGCTACTAAACCTTACAAGGTCTTATAAGACTAAAAGGCTCAGAAAAAAAAATACTAGTTGCATCAGTACATAATTTACTTCAAATATAAAATAACTTAATGACAACAGTTTTAACCGAATAGCACTTGGTTTTCAAAGCACTCTGATCTCATTTAATCCTCACAACCAAACTGAGGCAGTCAGAACAGATCTTATCATCTCCATCTGCACTTCACAGAATGGACTAAGCTGTTCAGTGTTTGTTCAAGGCCACATGCAGACCAAAGGAAGGAGTGCGTTTCAGATCTCCTGACACCTTCATCTACTAACTCTCAACTATCACTACCTCAAGAAACTATCAGAAAAATTCCACATGGCTTCCCTAGAGGAAAGCAGTTTCTGAAACTGCTTAGACGTAGAAAATAATGCTGCTTCAGGACTAAAAACAATTTCAAATGTCTTTAACTTATAAATCAGTGTAGCAGCTAACCGCTGAACAATTTGGCCATTAAACAAAAACCCTTAATTTCCCTCCCATCTGAACTCCTAAGCATTCCACACAAGAAGCTTAGTCCCTTTTATAACGTTTTGGTTTGAATCATTCATTTTACTATTACAGCCCTTAACTGTATTTTTTTTAAGGGAATGGTTTTACTTATTTTTTTATTTACAGCATGTCTGCTCATCACCCCAGTTTCTGGGGACATGTGTATAATAAAATACAACTCTACAGGTATCAATTACTTAAAATAGTTCAAAGTACAAAAACAGGTCCAATTAAAAATTTGATCTTATACAACAGCATGAAGATATTTTGTTCTTCATTAGACTCTACAGTGAATTGATTCCTGAGGAGTATCATTCCGCCATAGGATATTCTGCTTCCTATGTTTACCAATGGTAATAATTAATATTTGAAAAGCTATCTCCAAGCTTGGTTGATATGAAAAATTATTTTGCTACAGGGAATAATTATGATATTAGAAATTTCATCTGAGATAATACTTTTAGTAAAACAGGCTTCTAACTTCTTTCTCTGGTTTTATTCACGATCTCTAATGTAAAGTAAAAAGAAAAGTTCAAATGTTATTATTGGCCATGTAATATGTCTACTATGCATTACTTTAACAAAGCATTTCTACATCATCACATTTGATCTTCACAACTCAATTAGATATGTGTTATCATTCCCACTTTGTAACTGAGAAAAAAGGCAAGGAAGTTAAGTGACTTCAGCAAGGTTCTTTCTGGGGTAGAGACTCAGAGGTCTGCTCTGACAAGCTTTATTTGTCCAAAAAATACGTAATGAAAAAGGCAATCAACTTAAGGCTCAGCACCCATGGACACTGACAAAATGGTTCCAGGATCCTATGTGCTAGTATTTCAACCTGAAGGAGTCACCAGTTACCAGTGAAGGAGTTACCAGTCACCAGCTATGAACATGAGGAGGTTCTCTATGCTACAGGAAGCAAAGAAAGGGCATCAGCAATGCCTCACCTTCTTTCTACTACCTAAGATTTGAGAGAAGATGAAAAGTTCATAGGCATAATAGGAAAAAAAATATATAAGCCAAGAAAAAGGACAAGAAAAAATTATATTCCATGGAGGTGAAGGGCAATGAAAACTAATGTCAGGAAGCTGTCAAACAGAAGCTAAAAGAAAAAGACTGAGACAAAAGTCTGCACTACTAAAGATGTACAACATGTTTGAGATTCTTGCCACAGAGAACCCAGACTCTAAGTTATCAGCACCAAGCATTCCAAATAGCAAGACAATGTGCAGGCAGTAAAGACTTTCCATGATTGCTACCTTAGGGATACAGAGGCACCAAATGTAAAAATAAAACAGCCTCATCATTTCCCTTGCACATATATTCGAGACAGTACTAAAAGTCTATGTCAGTTCTGCAAGCCCAGCAACTTAGTAATTTCTGATATTTTACAAGGGAATAAATTATATGATAAAAATATATCTGGAATACATGTCTAATGAAGATATAAATGGTGTTTTTATTTCATCTTCCAGTTCATTTGGCAGAGAAAGCTGAGTATGAAGACTATACAAACAGGATACATAGCTGTTGTCAAAATCAGGATTTGGGTGGTTTGGGATATTTTGTTTTGTTTTTTTTGGACCATCGTTCCTGTATGGTCCAATCTTTCAAAATCCAGAAGTAA